GGGTTCTCTTTCCGGTCCGCTCCCAACCGGCAGCTGCTCCTCGGCTGGGCGCCACCAGGGAGGGCGGCGCGACCCCCATCTCCAGCCCGCGCTCTCCCCCGGCAGCCGTGAGCAATTTCTTGGGACCAAAGTCGATATTCTGGAGGGTCCAGAGATGCCAAGCGCCCCCCGACCCCCACCCTCCACCACCTCTTTGGACTAAGGGTCGAGAGGAGGGGCTGGAAAAGATGTTTTTCCCCCCCTCTCCGATCCGAGTGGTATTTTGTAACCTTATTTCTCGCTCTGCTTTCCCCATCTTAAAGAAATGATTTAAAAAATAGATTGGAAGGAAGAGATGAGGAAAGCAGCCAGAAAGCGAAGATGGAGAGGGAATTGGGGGAAAGGATCCACCTGCGAGTTGGCGCCCCCTGGTGGCTGATCTTGAGGCTCAAGGTCAGCTTCCCTAGGAAGCCGGGCGGTTGGGTCGCGGCCAGGACCAGGCTGGCTTCTCCCTCTTAGACATTTACTTTTGAGCCCAGGGTCCGGGCGGACTCGAACACTTGCCCACCCTGTTCTGCCCCTGGGCGAGGCGCCCTCCCTGCCCAGGGGCCTAGAGGCTGGGCCGTCAGGGTGTACAATATTATACTTTTTTGGAAGTTGAACGCTTCTAGTTTCCTTATTTTGTATAAAGAAGAAAACAAATAAAGTATGTTTTTGTGTTTACTGTTTATTTATTGTACTCTAGTTATCTGGGGCTGGACATTTTTATATTTTTAAGAGGTGGGTGGGCAGCGTGTGGGAGGGGAGGCAGAAAGGTTTACCTACAAAAAACAAAAGCAAAAAACAAAAAAATCAACTTTTTTTAAAAAGAAAGATTAATAAAAAAATTCTTTTTTTCCCTCAGCACTGTGTGGTTTTCTCTTTTTGTCCCTGTGTTGATAGAGTGGATGAAATCAGTCTTTTCTCTGCTTCTGTCTTCTGAGCCCTAACAGACACAAGAGGTCTGGGCCCCCTTCCTCCTGTAAGGGAGAATCCTTCCAGTAACAGCAGGATTTTTGACAGTTCCTGTGAGCTGGGCACGCTATCAGCTCATGCTTTAGTGGATCACAAGCCTGCCAGGCACGTGAGAGGCCTTCAGAACGTTTGATGAATGAATGGATGCGTGATCTCTCTTCGGTATATAAAAAAATTGTAGCAATCAGGTACAGTTGTGCACACCTGCAGTCCCAACTACTGGATAGGCTGAGGCAGGAGGATAACAAGTTCAAGGCCAGCCCAGGCGATTTAGTGTGAGCCTGTCTTAGAATAAAAAGTAAAAAAAGGACAATGGTGGAGAGTTCCTGGGTTTGATTCCTAGAAGGGGGAAAAAAATCTAGCTTCAATTCTCTTTATGCCCCAGGTAATTCCAGGTGTTCAGAAACAAAGCAACAAAAGAAAAAAGAATCAAGAAAAGGCGCAGGACACTAAGCTGATGCGGGTTGTCTGCAAGGCTGAGCCGGGACAGAAGGCGGGGGGGCGCGAAGGTTGCAGGGCTCCCCGTTCTTAGGCAGCGCATAGCTGAAGGCTCGGGAAAGAGGGCTGGCGATTTCAGGCCTGGGAACAGAGTAAGAACTGCCCCTCCTCTCTCGGCCTGTTTCCTGACTTGGAAAAACATGGGTGGAAGGGAGTGCTCCCTAGTAGGGTTAGAAAAGCAGATGGAACAAATAAAAATGAACTCCGGACCCCTGGAGCTGGTGGGGTCCCCCGTTTCAGCGGCAGCTGGAGAAGGTGGGGGAGGGGGAAACGTGCTGAGCCCAGACGCGCCTGGGGGGGCTCGAGCGGGTAGGGCGAGGGGGCTTCACTTTTTTCTTTTCTTTTTTTCTTTCTTTTCTTTTCCTTATAGCACATTTGTTTTTAACAGACTGATGCTCCTTGCTCAACATGGAGATTTTAGAAATTTCAGACAAATAAAGGAAGAAAATGTCATCTTACAGAAAGTCAAGCACTGTGATGCTCTTGAACTTTTTTCTTCTGTTTTCTTTTTCACTTGGAAACCAGAGCTCTCGCGCTTCGCAGCGTCTTCCAGACTCGGTGAGGGCGGCGCTCAGAGCCGCGTCGCCCTCCGTGGTCACCGCTCAGAGCCCCCTGGACCGGTGCCCCCTTGTTTGGTTTGGTTTGAGTTTCTTCTTTCGGGGGGGCAGTACCACTGGGTTCCGCAGCCACCCCGCCGGCCTCTGCGCCGGGCCCGGAAGACGGTATCATCTGTCTTGCCAGGGCGCCCGCAGGGGGCGAGCACCCTGCCCCAGGTCACGCAGAGTCTGGACTGGAGTCCCCAGGAGGGGATGGATGTCTTCCACTGGCTGCCATGGATTCCGGGGCCACTGGAGGATCCGCCGGGGGGACCCCATCCCAGCCCCTCCTGGGACGCGCAGATTTTGGAGAACTTCCGCTGTGAGACACAGGAGGGAAGCTGGGAGTGGGAAACAGGCTGTGATAGGTTGACAGAGGGGTGGTGGGGAGGGAGGGGTGGAGGAGAAGGGGCCACCGAGGCTGTAGAGGGAGGACCCCACCCCCACCCCATGTGCGGCGGAGCGGGGGTTGGGCAGGAGCACAGTGGAGCCGTCCCCCTGCCTGCTCCCGGGCTCAGGCCCACGGTGCACACCCGCGCACCAGGCGGACACAGGCACACACACGCACACACAGAAGCCACGCGGGAGGTGTGACATGCCCGTGGACACACGCATGAGCACGCCCAGCCGTGGGACACACAGCCGTGTGAACGTGCACGGTGCTGCACACACACGCACCACGCACGCATGTAGGGCCCACGCCCGGGCTGTACGGATCCCACGGAGACAGCCTCGCACAGCCAAGGCCTTAGTCTGCCTTAGTCTCCAGCTGCGGGGCTGGAGAGGCCATCTTGTGTGGGGTACGGAAATAAGGGTTCCCAGAGGGAGGCGGAGCTGTGTCACCCTTCTGAGCCTCAGTGTGTGTGACCGTGAAATGGGTTCGCGACCACCTTTTGCCCACGGGGCCTTTTGAGGACCAAGGAGAAATAACTCAGCCTGTGACCGAGGACCAGGAAATCTGGCTCCAGGGCCCAGTCCTCACAGCATGCACCCCACATGCCTGAACAGTGACAGCAGGAAGAGGCCACCTTGGCCCCAGTGCACCCTGCTCCATGAGCTCCTTACAGCTCCCCACCCAAAGTCTGATCAGAGGAGAGAGGAAGGTACAGGCTAAAAGAGCATGAGACCTCCCCACTCCAGTCCTTCCAGAGGTGGAGCCGGGTGCCTCGGGACGAAGCCAGCTGCTCAGGGGACAGAACAAGGGAGCCAGGGTTGGTTGGTTGGATTTGTGGGGCTGGGGATAGTACCCAGTACCTTCACAGCGAGCCACACCCCAAACCCATTTTTATATTTTTACTTCGAGACAGGGTCTCACTAAGTCACTAACTTACCTAGGCTGGCCTCAAATTTGTGATCCTCCTGCCTCAGCCTCCCAGGCTGCTATGACTATGGGTGTGTGCCATCATGCTTGGCCAGAGGCAGGTTTCAAATAAAAGATTTCTCCTCCTAGAGCCCGTATTGCCCTCGAGCTCAGGACAGAGCCCGGCACAGCTGATTAGTGACTACATGAATAGGTGGATGGACAGACAGACAGAACTCAGCTGCCATAAAAAGGGTCCTTGA